AGCAATATGAATTTGATTTTGAGATAAGAAAGCAGCAATTTCGGGTGCTTTTCCGGAGATACCGTTGCAATTAAATTGAAGGATTTTTAAAAGGCCTTTGGCAGGGTGTGGTGAACTATTTACATTATTAACAGCAGTATGATTAAAATGGTTGTTTGAACTTGAGTTATTTACACTATTTACACGATTACGATTTGCGCGATTTTGGGAGGAGGAATTATTATTCGAGGAGGTGGGAAGGGTGGGAGGGGGAGGGGGGTTAGGGAGGTGGGGTTGGGGGGCGGTTAGGGAAGTTGAACAAGTTTGGGAGTTGGGGGTGGTCAAGTTAGAGGACCTGGTGCCTGGGGGAGGTAAAATGTAGGTAGAGGTACAGGTAGGGCAATAGTAGTCAAGGTGGTGTTGGTTAAGGTGGGTAAGACCACTACATTTAAGGTGAATGTAACCACAGATGTGGCACCAGACGCTGGGCTGGGTGCGTTTGATGCGGAAAGAGCAAGGGGAGCAAAAGTAAGGCCCTGGACCAGGGTTTGGATTAATGCCGGAGCGGAGTAGTAGTATAAGGATGAGCAGACGGAGCAGCCTGGCCGGCTTCAGACGCTCCGTAACCGAAAACCCGGAGACTTCGGAGCTTCTCCCGACCCAATGGGAGGGGGGGCTTGACGCCATTTGCATCTTGGTGGGGCCCAAGATGTCGGATCCACCACTGGAAGGCGGCATCGTCTTGATAGGTTTCGGCTTGTTAATTTACGTATAAAAAACTAAATGAACTGGAAGTTTTCATTCCTATAATGGGTTGGTGTCAGGGTACTTTTGGAGGTTGCGCATTGGGCGTCCAAGTATGACGGCTCAATTTTTTTTGGTTTTCGAGATATTGCAGTTTTTACTATGTCTTTTTTTTTTCAAAAAACTTAGATATACAAAATTAACCTAACTTGAGAAGCTCAACTCTATCGTGGGGTGCTTTCAGGGTACACTCAGGGATTGCAAATCTGGCATCCACATTAGACAGCTGAAATTTTTTTGGCTTCCGAGTTGTGGCGATTATTTTATGACTTTTTTCAAAAATTTTGAATTTGAATAAAAATTTTAACCGATCTTGAAATTCTCTACCTCGATGGTTGGGTTTTGTCAGGGTACATTCAGGGGATACTGTCAGGATACAAATCTGTGCTCTAATTTTTATTGCTGAAATCTATTTTGTTTCTGAGATATGGCGTTGCTTATGATTTCTCAAAAAAAACTTAGGTTTAAAAGCAACCTATGGAAATTGAAGTTTTCAACCCTATAATGGATTGCTGTCAGGTAGCAATTTTTTTCTCTAAATTTACCTGCTTTAGTCATTTTCTTTTTCGATATTTGGCGCTTTTTCATGAAATAGATTCCTCTGATAGATGAACTCAGCTCATAAATAATTAATGTTTGCATTAAATATCGCTGGTTTACTACATGTTTTTGTTCTTTTTACTTTTAACGATAAATTTGGAGCACCGTAGGTGCGAGTCATGTGCTAGTTTTTACGAATTCCAGGCTTTTTTCTACTTTTTTTATTGCGCTTTATAGAGCTGCTTTTTGTCGTCGTGTTTGCGAAGTGCAGCTTCGCCTCTGTGTAGATTGTGTTGCACATACCAGCTTGGGACGTTAGTGTGATATTACACATCCCCGTTTTCTGACAGAACTCGCAAAAAAGCTTATTTGAAGGAGCTTTTGCTGCATAGCATGGTCAATTTGATAGCATATGTTCTACCTGCTTTATTATTGGCTAGTGCTTGCCTATTGCCAAGTGATCATGCGGCAGATGCGACGACAGCTGACTCGTAATCTACAGGTTGACGATTTAATTTCGTCATATTAAATTTTTTTCAGACGTTTTTTTTCGTATTTTCCCTGCCATTTTTGCTTTTTTGCCGTTTTCATGCCAATCTTGCGATTTCCAGCTTTGTTTTTGTCTTAGATATAAAGTTTTAGTTCATCTGCCTGATTTCATCACCCTGATTTTACGTTTGAAGTTACATTATTGTGAGCGTTTAAGACAGAAAATAAATATTTCCTCTTTTTAATTCACTTAAATTTAGCATATCATATTGGTTTCGCTCCTCTTCAACTTCATACAATTTCACTCCCTACTTTTGTTGCCTTAGCAATTTAAGATCGCTACATTTTAAAACCATTTCTATGACTTAACACCGTTTTAATCCAAAATGAAAAGAAAACTTACTTCAAAGGGGACTTCGGTAAACATCAAAGAATTAAAAGAGAGAAATTTTGCCATTTAAAGACAGACAATTTTGCGCTACTTAATTTGCTCAAGTTTTGTACAGAAATGACCTTGCAAATAATTTCAATGAATCGTTTCAGACTGAAGTGAAATGGCCTTGCCAATTTTTTCAATCAATCATTCCAAAATGAACCAAAAACAAGAAAAAGTTATGAACTTCAGAAGCCCGCAAATAATTAGACGTCCCTTGACTAATATGGTCTAATTTTCCAGACGTTTTTAGCCGGTATAGAAATTAAAAAGTTCAACCAATGCCAAAAGCCTAAAAATCATTATTTTACAGAATCATTCGATTTTAAACGTATAACCTGATCGCTTGGTCAGCTTTTTTGAACTGTTGGCACATAAACGCAAAGCTAAAGGGTTTGCCAGCCCGTAGTCTCAAGCTAGCATCCCGAAAATAAGGGTGATTGTCCTAGGATTAAATTTCGCGCAACGGGGATGGGCGGCATATTTACATCTAGCTGCTTACGTTTGCGCGCAGCCGTTCGGATCAGTTTGTTTTTACTTGGGAGGGCAAACTGAGTGGCCATATCGTTTGTAACTGGCAAAACCGCACTGGCAACTGCGACAGTCGGGGTAAATCTCTCGCTGAGATCTTTCAAATGCTTTATGACTTTTCGGGTATTCGATTTTCTCGCTGAAATGTCATAGTCATGCTCTCCACGCGTTTCGATTAATTCGGAATTTTCTGTAATGGCAGTTGCTTGACATTTATGTGTGTGATATTTTAAGCAAATCCAGTTTTCGGTAAATTTTTTTTCGCTTGAAATAAAATTCGTGGCTGGACGCTATAAGAATTGGCTTGTTTTAGATGAAACTCTGAATTCAAAAGAGGCTCAATCAAAATGTGTTAATTGTGTTTGCGTTTGCGTCAATTAAGTATAAAGTGACTATCAGAATTTATTTTTTTGTCAGAAATTTTACGTCAAATTGTTATGAATTAGCATAAGCAGGATCATAATGGTTTAGCGAAAAGTCTAATTAAAAATAAATTACGAACTTTTTGATAAGATTCTTAAGTAATTTAGGAAGCCTCATTTTAGCGTGTATAACTAAGATAAACCATGTTTTTCATTATGGTGCGATAAGAGTCTTAAGTAAATTAGGAAGCCTCATTTTAGCATATATAACTTAGATAAACCAAGTTTTTCATTATGGTGCGTGCGTTATTTGCAGGATTAATTTTAGTGTGATAAGAGTTCAGATAAGCAACTCATACAGCATTAGTTTAAGTTGTGAAATGACTAGGTGTTGAAATGTAGGGTGTTAAACTGGAAAACAGGAGTTAAATTGTTGTGGATTTAAATTGTTTAGTAGTGAAATGACTAAGTGTTAAAATGTACGGTGTTAAATTGTATGGTATTAAATTGAGTTCGTACCATCATATTTTATCCACTCACTTATTAGTTGAAATCATTAATTCGTGACCAGAAAAAATTCTGCATTTTAATTAGTCTGCGATGTCAGAAATAATTTGATCACATATTTTTTTGTTCTAATTGTTTCGCATTTAGTGCCAAATCAACGTTTGGGACCAATTAAATTATTTTAAGTTTTGTGTTGTACGAACTCCATCTTAATAGTTGGGCTCTATTTAGACACATAGCTTCAGGGTTTGAGACAAATAAATAGAGCTTGAAGAAACAGAGCTGCTGTGCATATAAATTGTACTTTTGTCATTTGATTCGGCAGGCAATGGCTATATCATTTTTTCCAAATTCCGGATCTATAGCTTGAACGTGGTTAATTTATTCTATTTTAGTTTGTGGATTCCAGTGACAAATCGCAGAATCCCTAGAAAAACAGCAAAATGCAGCGTCATAATAACAAACTGAGGGAGAAAACTGGGGAATTCAAAGATATTTGGTGGGTTTCGCGTCAAAATATGTACCGTGCAGATGTTCAGGGGGAACCGATGTTGTCCCATTGAATCGTTGATTACGAATCAGATTAACCTTATGATCGTTTTTGTGGGCTGTGTAAAGTGACACCCTTAAGAAACGAGCGCGAATCGTTTTAGGGCTCGGACCACCGAGTTTTGTATGAGAGTCGGTGACCTAACCACTTCTTTGCCGCTCTCCAAGGTTTCTTTAATTTTTTTTGGCGGAAAAATTGAAAAAAGTGACTGCAAAAAATCTATACCTGCAGCTGGTAAAATCTTTAAGAAATCTCATGAATTAATTTATATAAACATGAAATAAATGAGTTATTTTTGGTGCTCTGTTGGTCGATGAAAAACTTTTTGACACCTTATGTTTAAAATGAACTCAAAAAAATTACATCGGTGGTACGAAAAGTGACATGTAAAGATTTGCGAACTGGTTCAACCGGTAACGGCTCAATACAGGTTAAGTTTTCGTTCCTAAAATTGGCATTTTTTCCTTTTCGTTCCTTTCCCCCCTTCTGACGTAAGCATAATTTTTATGTTTAATGATGTGTTTCACAAGATTAGATAAAAAGACGTAAAGGTTTGGAAAAGTCCGAATAGTCCATATGCCCTTTTTTGTAAGAATCGGACATTGCGAAAAATTTATGAGGAAAAGGAAAAAGCCATAAAAGCTTCTCTTTAGAGCTAAAGCCATGATTCATTTTAGAAACTGATGTGCGTCACAAGTTTTTCTCTCTTGGTTGATTTATATGTATGTTTAATTTAAACCCCGCTAAAAAACTTACGGCAATTTCTCACGTCATTACATCGATAAACTTTGGTTGAACGCCAAATGAAATATTCAATTAACTTCTGTCCAAAGGACATGCAGAGTAAAATACGCAGCTCATTAAATTTGAAATAAAATTGGTGGTGGTATGATTTTTCATCTAATCTGAGTAGATTTTATATCAAAGCCTCAAGTGCCGTGTAAACGTTTTTCGTGGCAGGAAAACAAAACATTTTTCACGTCTCGCGAGTTTAAAAGATGCAAGTTTTCTTCTTTCCTCAATATTTCTCAAACGATACGGCTGCCTGAATCTTCGGGTGGGAGGGAGGGGGGTTGGGGGTTAGTGACTATGTTCGTGATTGATCCAAGTATGATGGCCCATAAGATGTCCTTTCCTATCGAATAAAGTCGAATACGTCGGCTGTGGTGTAAATTCTTCTCTAAAACAACAGGTTTTTTTTGTAATTACCACCGCAATGCAAATCTTTCATCTATTGCTCTGGTAATAATAGATGTTTCTCACACTTGATTACCGGCGGCGTGTCAATGAGCTTCAAAAAGATGACGTTCATAGCTAAATTAAAACTTTCAAATATATTTTCAACCACCCTTAGCGTGAACAAGACTATTTGCATCACAGAAAAGTACAGAATCTGAGAGCTACCCTTCGAAATTATTGTTGTTCAAATTTTTCTAGACAATTAAGGTATCGTATGAATGACAGACAGAACATATTGGCAAATGATGAATTACGAAGTGATGGAAGGTTTCGTTAGTGTCATTTTGTAAAGTTTCAATCGGTTACTTTGAAGCAAACTGATTTGATTTGAAATTCGTTTTTCATGATTATTTTTCTTTTAAACTTTTTCTCCTTAAGTATTTTAAAATGCTAACCATAGCGATACACTTTCTTAAAAGTCTTAGCGTAGCGATCAGAACCAACTGCAAGTACTTGCTGCTTTAATAAAACTGCAGCCATTAGTTATTGCCCCTTGTTAAGTTTGGATCAATAACGATGCTCCATTAGATTTGCATCATTTGGAGGGCAAGTAAACAACTTTTCTGACACTTTCTGCCGATATTTTGTCGTGCTGAAAGGCCGACACGCACAATATCTTGAAAGTTTAATCAAAACTACTTTTTAGGTCTTGTGGGCAAGTAGTTAACTTTTCCGAATATAAATTTTGAAAAAATGTTTTTTTTTTGGATTTATTGTTTTCTTCATTACTTTTGACCGCTGATCTTCCGTTTTTTTTAAATGCTATTAACATCATTTGGTAAGTTTTTTTGATTGTTTTTATAAATATTTTTGATCAAACTGTTTTTACTACAATTGAAAATTGCTCTGTAGTTAGTAAATTTATAAACTCTGATTTTTAGTATTTTAAGATTTTTTTTGGATTTTTTCGGTTAAACGGCTTCAGCGTATTTTATATCGGCTTTGTCGACTTTGTTGCGCAGTTTTAGGGGCGAACTGTTTTAATTAATTTTGTACGTTTTGGGTGTAATGGGTCGTAAAATTATACTTAAAAATTTTTCGACAAAATTACAACAAATTTACTTCCTTTTTTCTATCAACATCTTGTAATGCAATACTTTCATTGTGTAGCGAGTCAATTTATGTTGCACCATTTCAAGGGCGAACTGTTTTTATTGTTTTTAGTTTGTTTCAGGAGTGATGGGTCATAAATTTATTTAAAAAATTAAAAGCTACAGTTTCCTTTTTCTGCTTAAAGAGGTAACGACCCAAGTTTTATAGACTAAATTGCAACTAGGCGATTGATTTTTAATTCCCTTTGAAGCTGTTTATGATCATCGTGAAACAATTTATAAATTTTTGTTATTCACCTATAAAAAGAAACAAACTTTCAAAATTCAATCAGTGAAATTCTCCAAAATTATTGAAAGCTTATCAATCAGTGCTAAAGCGAACTTGTTGGTCCGACCATCTGAAAAATGTGGAGGAACTTTGCATTCGGGAGAGCTTTAGTTTTCTTAAGTTCTTTTTTTTCGAATTCAAGTAAGAGAACTAATCATCGGAATGGGTCGAGTGATATCTCATAATAAAGTTTTTTCCGTTGTGATTCGAATGATTTTCTCAGAGTCGAGAAAAGCCATTTGAAATTTATGATTTTTGGTCTTATTCAAGCTAATATGGTGAGATTGAGCAGGCTTACAAAAGCTAATTTATGCGTAGTTTAGGCCTTAAAAGTTTAGTTTACTTGAATAAATTTAGTTTTTTTGGAGTATTTTAGCGCGAATTTGTGACTCAAAAACTTGAAAAAAAAATTCAAAATATTTTCGAAAGTTTGTGGAATTTGTCGATAGGTTTTTTTTCGCTCTACAAAAAGTGTTTCCCATTTGGCCATTTTTATGAATGACAAATATGCCTAAAATGTACTCTTTCGTTCTTACACTACACAGAATAAACGACACTAAATTGGAAAATATTTTTTTGTTTTTTTTTCTAAGACTATGGTCGGAACATTCTGCGCTACTCGCTCAGTAACCGGCTGTTCTTGTTGGCTTAAGTAGCTGTAGAATTTTATCTGATTTCATTCAATCAGAACTTAATTATCATAGTTTTGCACTCGTCTTTTGAGATGTGCTATTTTTGTTTTAGTGGATTGAATGGAAAAAAAACATTAAAACCGCAATTATCCATCTGATTTTTGATTTTTGACAGGAGTTTTGAGGTTAAATCCCGAGTAGTGAGTGTACTTATCTGAGTTACTTTATGTGTTTAGGCTAGTGTTCTGCTTTGTTTCTGGCGAGATTTTTTAGGCCTATTTTTGATGAAAATATGAAACAAACTAAGGATTTCCAGCTTCGATTGAATTTTGCTGGCTAGAAAATCTCTGAAGACCAGAAAATTTGTGCTAAGCTCAAACCAAAAGTATAAGTGCTCTTGATTGTCTAACTACGACGACATTTAATTTATTTCAGCCAGCCATCTTTATTTCTTGGCTAATGTTTCCATTGATTGTACTGCCAAATCAAACCATCCAGATTCCTAAAAGGCTAATTTGAAAAATTGAAGCAATGAAATTTTTAGCAGTCATCGGCTTATTAATCTACTAATGTTTTTAACAAACTTTATAAAAGTAATCCAAAAAAATATTGTGCTATATAAGAATCTTACTGCTAGAATACCAGAGCTGTTTGTCTTTCGTAAAAAGCATTGACGTTGTTAGGCTATGCGAACAATTAAAACAAAAAGTGGGCCCGTTGCCAGGGATTTTAGCAGACCGATTTTTTAGCATACCAATTTTTTGCAGACTTAGAACAATAATAAAGTCAGATAGCTAACTTCCAACGCGGCATTGACGATTAGCGACCGCTTGCTCCGCTGCGCTTCAATTCAGCACGAGTGTTATTTGCGCATAAATCTTTGTTTTGCCGCTAGCTTAGTCTATTGTGTTTTTGAAATTGATAGTTTTGTTGATAAATTATGAGATAACTTTCTTTTTTGAGGAATTTGGCCCCAGACTGAGTGTCTTTTTGAGTCTATCTATCAATCATCCATCACTTTATTATGTTGGTCTGCTAAAACATTCATTTTTCTCTTTTAATGCTAAAACATTGGGTGCTTACTGATCGGTCACCAGTGGACCCCTCATGTAGATTAACGGAAGGCATAGAAAACAGTTAATATCTCATTTGTTTTGGAAAGTTGAGCGCATATGGTTTTTGGGGAGAATTCTTTAATTTACTCTAAAGTAATTAATTAAAGGACAACAATAAGTCTGAAGTCTCAAAGCAACAATCCATTGAACAAATTATAGGCACGTAATTCCACAGAGTTTAGCTATTGGGCATCTATTTTTCTTCGTTTTTATCAAGATTTCGATTAAAAAGTCTCACGTTCTGTACTTTTGCGGACGGCTCTGACCTTTCGTTTTTTTTTCAAACCAAGCGAATAGTCGATGATTTTAATTGCGGTTTACAAAAATACATGTTCAAAAATTTAATTGCTCAAATTGACAATCAACGGACATTTACCGATCATGCAGATCTTGCTTATTGTCTCTTTGTCTATATAAATACAAGTAAAATCGCTATTGAAAATTTTTCGTATGCCGGAATAAAAATCGTTAGAATGCTTTTTTTTCAAAAGTAATTTGGTAAAAAAACTTAAAATTCAGTTAGCTCGGAGTTCAAACAGTTCGTAAAATCGAATTGTTGGAATTTTCCCAAAAAAAAACAATTTTCAATACTCAAACCATTCACTAGTTAAAAATTTGAAAGTCCAAGATACTGGCAGTCGGAGCAATGCGCAATTTAGTTCTAATGGTGTGATTCCTTTTTCTCGTTCAAGGGCAAAATTCGAAAAAAAATTTCGCGCATCAGAGTGAGAAGTTTAATTTGCTAAAAAAAGCTCACTACAAATGAGGGAAACGCGTTTACTGGGTATTTCTGATCAATCGATACAATTCAATCAACCAGAATCAAGCTTTTTAACAAAATTTTCTGATTGTATTTCGCTATCGGCGAATTTAAGTGGAAAAAAGGGAACACTATCTTGCTGAAAAAAAAGGAAATTGATCGAGAATTAGGATGCTAGATGCTTTGTTTTTGCCTCGTAGAAAAACTGTCTGAAAAAATTTAAACTGGCTTTGCAGTTTTTCAACACAATTTTTTTAAATCTGTTTTTTCTAAGTTTTTCTAAGCAGCTTCGTGATAATTAGTCTAATTTTTCTGATTTCAGTTTAAGCTATTATTTTATTTCAAGCAACAAGTTCAATCAATCCGTTGTTGTTATGGTGTGTCAAATTTTGTGAATTAAGCGGAAAAAATACTCTTTTTTTTTTGCAAATTTTGCGAAAAATACCTCGCAAGATGAAATGAGAAGGTTATATTACGATGAAACAATAATAAATATAGTGCATATCCAGCTCAGGAAAAATTAGATCGTAAAAGCATCCCACATGGAAAAATAGTGTTTTGTGGATTAAAATAATAAACACGATCTTTTGTTTTATAGATAAAAAAATTTTATTAAATTTTCCGATGCTAAAGTGCTGTAGGCAATTTTGGAAAAACATTGAAATTTCAAAAATGGTAAAAGCATCGAAACATCGAATTTTTAAAAATGGTGAATCTTAGCAATCGTTTTTGACGTTCAAACGAGGTGATTGTCCATTGGATGTATGATTGAATAAAAAGCCCTAATATGCTATTCATCGCATTGAATCTGTTTATACCTATTGGATGTTCATGAATCTTTTCACAGTAAAATATTATCCAAAAATTTTTGCTAGCCAAGCATTCGTTGAAAAAATAAATCTGAAAATAATGCACAAGCTGCTTTATTCCAACTTGCGGTTTCACAATGACTGCATCGAATGCAAAAAACACAATTGAGTTAAAATACTTTCCGACGCTACCAATTTTAAATCAGAATTCGGCGAAGTCTTCATAGTTTTTGCAGGCTAGTGCA